AAATTTACTTTTATAACTGCGTTACTGAAGTCTCACAATGGCAAAAACCTCCCGAATGGACCCTTCCTGATATGAACAAAAAAGACCTCGTCAACATCCTCAACGAGCGTAAAGAAGTCGATAGTAAGTCAATCTTATTTAAGTTTTGTTTTTAGGCTCTGCACTTAAGAGACCCCATACTTCTTCATCAGCAGTTTCTTGTAGCAAAGAATCTGCGCATCAGATTGAAAGCTCTCCAAAGCGTGTTAAATATTCCTGCTCCTTACAAAAATCCAATGCTTCAGATCCTGTCACAACTAGAACCCCCTCGGCACATTTCACCTCATCTTCTCATAACCTTGACGAACATTCATCAGGCCTCCAAAATGCCGAAAATCATTCTCAATTAGTTTGCAAAAGAAGTTTTGATGGTAATTTTATTTGTTTTACCGTTACTCTTACTAGACTCCCAGTATTGTCGGAACCAGGCCTCTTCTGTTTCAACTCGCTCTGATATTTCCGGGGCAAATGGGCTTCCTCGGTTTAACAATGACGATATGGATATATCGCCTGGCAGTTCTCCTCTTTCTTGTTGTAGTTCAAATTCTCAGGCAAATTGTAACTGGCATTACAAGCGCCAGAGCCACGTTACGAGGCATGCCAACTCCTTGCAACCTAATACTAAAAAGTGCAAGGATGACAGTTCCAATTGGAATTCATTTAAGCATTCGTCAGGCGATTCTCGAGTTACTACGACTAAGCCAGGTAAATCTTTTCACATTTTACTCTTCATTAATCCTGCAGATGCCCCACAAAATGCTGCGCTTAGGCAATTGGTTGATGCTCTTAGAGAATCTCTTGGTTCAATTCTCGCTCATTCTCCTGCTAGTTCAATTTCAACACCGAATGTGAGCAATTCTAAGTCTGTTAATGAGCATACAAATGCTAATTCAGCCTCCCGTTCTATAACATATGGCTCGAATGGTCCTGTTTCTGATACTCATTGTCGCTCTATAACATCTAATCGCCTGTCTGATAAGCATGTTTCAGACCAAAGGGATAACATGAACCGTCAAATGTCTGATTCTTTTCAGGAAAGTCAGACGCCTCGCGGCACACTTTCTACTACTCCAAACACTTCTGGCACAGCAAATACTTCACCTCCCGTTTATTCTAAAAATTCCACAAGGCAGTTAAAAAATGTCCAAACTAATAATCCTGGAGGAAGCGCAAGTTCTCGTACCAAGGTAATTTTTTAACCTTACTTTATGATATTTCGTGGTTTTCGCTTTCAAAGTGTCTTCAATTTGCGATCTTTCAGAATATGGCTAACACGCTCTCGGCTCTTTTCAATCTACTTGGTGCAGCTGCTCCATCTAATTCTGGTGGAATTCCTGGAGCTAAACCTGCAAAGAGTCCATGTACTGTGAATCCTAAGTATGGCAACAATCCTGGTCTAAATGCATCTCTTCCCAAGCAATCCCCTTCGGGCTTGATTCCTCATCTCGTCACCAATCACCTTTCCATGATCAGACACCCTAGTTCTTCGGCTTCACCCTTGATGCCGAGTCCCATTACTCCCTTATCTGCTACTACTTCTCACCAGTTGCATTCGTGTTTTCTTCGACCTACCGATGAAATTTCGCAGACCTCTGATATTTCATCTCATCCTTTGGTTTCTAGACACCTCAACCAAGCACCTTTTCAAGGTTCTTCGAGTTCCCCTTCACTAAGCAGTGGGTTGATTTCTGGTGCTCCACATAAAGAGCATAGAATGCAAGTGCATCATCCTCCTACCATCGCGTCATTCAATCAGCTTCAGAGTAAGCATCAATTATATGCGTTGTATTTGCTATTTTTATCGTAATCGATTGGGCATTTGAATAGATTCCACACCTCAATCATAGTTCTTTGGTTGTACTCATCTCCTTGTATGTTGAAAATTTTTGACAATCTTCTGCGCATGTTTTCAACTATTGCCGTCTTGCGCAGATTTTACTTGCTCTTAAATCTTGCATCCATATTAATGGAGCTTAAAATCAAAAGTGACATTAGATTAAAGCAAATATTTTGTTTTAATGATGCGAATGGATCTCATGAAATCCCTCCTCATACTATAGAACTTTCGTTGATACTTTACTCGTATCTTATTTATCTGTCTGGCGGAGTTCTATTATCTTCATTATTAAAACTTTCTGCGATAAGTATACTCGTTTATGCAAAGAATCACCCCTAAGGACTTTCGTCAAACTCATTCTAGTTTTGATGTGGCATTACCTAGCTCGCTGGCATTTTATCTGGGCGAAGTAATACTCAGTTGTATTTGGTTTGATTTTT